TAATTCTTTCCTGCATACTACCCATATCTGTTTAAATGTTTTGAATTAGTAATGTGCATCGTTATATTATAAATGAGCGACAAATAAAAAATCCTTACCAGTACTAAAAAATATCCAATTTAGGTTATGAAAATTAAAAGCATTATATTTATGAACGCGTACAAAAATAATTGCGTTTCAAGTTCATAATCAACAGCATAAAAAGATTAAACTACCTTAGTGTAGGTTGATAACCTACAGCAGAAGGAATACGACCTAACAAAGCAGACACTTCAGAACCAGCTTGAGTGAAACGGAAGATGTTATCAATAAAGAGTAAGACATCTTGGCCTTCGTCGTCTCGGAAGTATTCAGCAAGGGTAAGACCGGTCAATGCAACACGTGCACGTGCACCAGGAGGTTCATTCATTTGACCAAAAACAAGAGCAGCCTTAGATTCACCGTCAAGTTTGATTACACCAGTTTGTATCATTTCATGATACAAATCGTTCCCTTCGCGAGTTCGCTCACCGACTCCAGTAAAAACAGAATAACCACCATGAGCTTTGGCAATGTTATTAATAAGTTCTTGAATTAAGACGGTCTTTCCGACACCTGCACCACCGAAAAGGCCAATTTTACCACCTCTAGCGTAAGGTGCTAACAAGTCAACAACTTTGATACCAGTTTCCAAAATTTCAGGAGCTGTCGATTGATCAATAAATTCTGGCGCCTCTGCATGAATAGGGGCAGTTTTTTTCGTTTTGACCGGTCCGCGCTCGTCAATTGGTTCACCAATAACATTAAGAATACGACCCAAGCACTCTGGACCGACTGGAATTGTAATTGGAGCGCCGGTATCTACTACCTTTTGACCACGAACAAGACCTATTAAAAGAAGATCGATGAACAAATCGCATTTATTCATACAATTTAGGAAATAAAAGATACGTAAAAGTTATTGAAAATAGTTCAAGACCTTCTGTTCCGTCCATAGCTATGGTCCGCACAACATTTTGTCCTAAATGTTGAGCAACCTCAAGTACAAGGCGACCACCATCTCTTTGAACTTCCAAAGAATTTAAAATAGGTGGTAAACTTTTTTCATCAAATTGAACATCAACTACGGCACCAATAACAGCCTGGACTACACCAAAATTTTCACCCTTCGTTTCAGTAACAAATGTGCGACCTAATTAGGAAGTAAATTTAAGATAAATATACACTTTCCTGAGCATATAAATATATATAAAAAATAAGGGCACCTATGAAGCTATTAGTTTTTAAACCGCCGGTTCTATATAAATTCCTAAAAGCAATACTATTGAGCACTGGCTTTTGTCTTAAAAGCCGAGTCGCCGCACGATGAATAAAAGTCATTTTTCAAATGCCGCATCAAGTATCAGCCTAAAAAAAAAATATTTTTTTCGAATATTTAAAGTGCCTTGATGATCTTTGTACTACCATGAAAATTTTTGATAATCAATCAGATGTCACGTCTTACGTACTTTAATAGCTCCGCTGTAATTAGCGATTCGGTGATCTTAAATCATGGTGAAAAACTCACTTGCCTTTGAAGCAGAAACTTTTCGTAAAATCCAACCTCAGGAATATTTACGTAGATTTATTCAAGGACACATTAGACCCGATGGAAGATTGTTAAACCAATTTCGCCCAACCACGGTTAATCAAAGTAAATTATTGGTT